CCAACCAACGGCCACTACTCCGTACTCAGCCCAACCAACGGCCACTACTCCATACTCAGCCCAACCAACGGCCACTACTCTGTTCTCAGCCCAACCAACGGCCACTACTCCGTACTCATCCCAACCAACGTCCACTACTCCTGTCAGGAATGGACTTGCCAGTAATGGTGGGACTCGCCTGCCTTGTGGGCTGCAGTACCCAGGGCTGGCCAGCGGGTGCTCCCAGCAATCAGAGACTCAACCCTGCAGCCAGCCAAACACCTGAAGTTGATTATGCAGGTGTATTTAAGGGATGGCCAGGCCTGCAGTCTCTGCCTTGGTGTGTGTTTTTCCTGGGCCCTGTATCTTGTTCCTGCATCCCTGTTCCTGTCCCTGTCTCTTTCGTTGCTGACCCTGCCTGATCCGGACCTCTGCTGACTTCTCCTGTTTATCCCTGGCTTTGTGACCCCGACCATTCTCTGCCTGACCCCCTGTACCTACCTGCCCGATTGTTATTGACCCGGCCTGCCTGACGACGCTTGCATTGTATGTACTTTTATCTGTGGGTGGTTGGTTTGGTTTGTTTGCACTGTATTATGTTTAGTATTGCACTGCGTTTATGTTTGTATTGTTAGTCTTTAATAAATTATATTGTTTATAACTTATCTGAAGCCTGTGTTTCCCTGCGTCAGTTCACATACCTCTGGTCATACCCGGAGCCCTGACATTACACCAAGGCCAATCCTGACCAGATGTGGCTGCACAGGGAAGCCATCTTGGTTTGTTGCTGGGAAGGATGGATCTTGATGAGGTTGTGTATTTATCTCGGCTAGTGTTCGATGACAGAGAGTATGCTTATCAGACTCTGAAGGAGTATCCCCGGGATGAACTGCTAGAATGTATAGGAATCGCTCATTGCCTAGTAGATCAGGGCACAGAATTCTCTGAGGTGCAGCCATTGATTCAGGTTTGTGCTGAGTTGGTTTCATCTGGTACCCCCGAATGCAGGGATGAATTTTTTCCCCCATTTAGTGCCGACCAGGTAGAGTCCCTGGTATGGTTATTAGAGGATGATGTGGATTACTTTCTGGAGCGTTATTCTGCATGTTCACCACAGGTACTAAGAGATTGTATAAACGCAGTACAGTCATTGACCAGACAGGCTTTGTGTAAGCTGAGCTTTGTTCAACCCATACTGCATACATGGACAGATTTGTTGCACCCAGCCTCAGTCAGCTTGCAAAAACCCAGTCCTGCTTCTAATCTATTTCTTCAAAGCTCTATTCCTGCATTCCCAACAGCACCTCCAGTTACAGCCCAGTATACCCTGCTATCTACCGCATGTCAATACCCTGTTCCCACTCGCTGCACCTATCCTGCCTTTAATCCTGTAAAGAAGCCCTCTGTAGCAACTGTTCGCTCTCCCCTGTTCCATCCTCCAGCTCTTCTCTGTCTCCAGCTGCTCCATCCGTTTACAAACCTGCGCTTACTTACAGTGCTCCGGTAACTAAAACCAGGAAAAGGCGAAAGTTCTTTCCAACCAATACCATCCTGCCAGTATCCAAACGGTCAGCCTCCCATCTGAGAACCTGCCTTCCGTGGTGCAGCCTGGTGCCTCGGCGCCCACAATTCAGCCTGATGCCTCTACCCAGCCTGATGCCTCCACCCAGCCTGATGCCTCCACCCAGCCTGATGCCTCCACCCAGCCTGATGCCTCCACCCAGCCTGATGCCTCCACCCAGCCTGATGTCTCCATTCAGCCTGTTGCCTCCATTCAGCCTGTTGCCTCCATTCAGCCTGTTGCCTCCATTCAGCCTGATGCCTCCATTCAGCCTGATGCCTCTACCCAGCATGATGTTTCTACCCAGCCTGATGAACTGATCCAGCCTGATGATTCCATTAGGCCAGTTGACTCGATGCCCGCTGTCGATCCAGACGATCCGGTACCTGATGACCCAGTACCCGCTGTCATGCCTGGTGACCCGATGTCCGCTGTCGAGCCAGACAATCCAATGCCTGATGACCCAGTGCCCGCTGTCATGCCTTGTGACCCAATGCCCGCTGTCGGGCCAGACGATCCAATGTCTGACCCAGTGCCCGCGGTCATGCCAGTTGACTCGGAGCCCACTGTCGTGCCTGGTGACTCGGTGCCCACTGCCTTGCCAGATGACGCGGTGCCCGCTGGCGAGCCAAATGACCTGATGCCTGGTGACCCAGTGCCCGCTGTCATACCTGGTGACCCGATGCCCGCTGTCGAGCCAGACAATCCCATGCCTGATGACCCAGTGCCCGCTGTCATGCCTGGTGACCCGATGCCCGCTGTCGGCCAGACAATCCAATGTCTGACCCAGTGCCCGCGGTCATGCCAGTTGACTCGGAGCCCACTGTCGTGCCTGGTGACTCGGTGCCCACTGCCTTGCCAGATGACGCGGTGCCCGCTGGCGAGCCAAATGACCTGATGCCTGGTGACCCAGTGCCCGCTGTCATGCCTGGTGACCCGATGCCCGCTGTCGAGCCAGACGATCCAACGCCAGATGACCCGGTGCCCGCTGTCGATCCAGACAATCCGGTACCTGATGACCCGGTGCCCGCTGTCGTGCCAATTGACTCAGAGCCCACTGTCGTGCCTGGTGACTCGGTGCCCACTGCCTTGCCAGATGACGCGGTGCCCGCTGTCGAGCCAAATGACCTGATGCCTGGTGACCCGATGCCCACTGTCGAGCCAGACGATCCAATGTCTGACCCAGTGCCCGTGGTCATGCCAGTTGACTCGGAACCCACTGTCGCGCCTGGTGACTCGGTGCCCACTGCCTTGCCAGATGACGCGGTGCAAGCTGGCGAGCCAAATGACCTGATGCCTGGTGACCCGATGCCCGTTGTCGTGCCTGATGACCCGGTGCCCGCCGCTCCACCTGGGGCCCGGCGCCCGCCGCTCCACCTGGGGGCCCGGCGCCCGCTGCTCCGCCTGGGGGCCCGGCGCCTGCTGCCCCTCCTGGGGGCCCGGTGCCCGCCGCTCCGCCTGGGGGCCCGATGCCTGTCGCCCTGCCTGGGGGCCCGATGCCTGTCGCTCTGCCTGGGGGCCTGGCACCTGTCGCTCTGCCTGGGGGCCCGGCGCCTGCCGCCCCTCCTGGGGGCCCGATGCCTGTCGCTCCGCCTGGGGGCCCGATGCCTGTCGCTCCGCCTGTCGGGGGCCCGATGCCTGCCGCCCCTCCTGGGGGCCCGATGCCTGCCACTCCACCTGGGGGCCGGTGCCTGCTGCTCCGCCTGGTGGCCCGGTGCCTGCTGCTCCGCCTGGTGATCCGGTGTCCAGCTCGATGTGCCTCTGCCCGGAGTCCAGCTCGATGTGCCTCTGCCCGGAGTCCTGCCCGATGTGCCGCTGCCCGGAGTCCCTGCCGATGTGCCTCTTTTCGGATTCCTGCCGGTGTGCCGCTGCCCGGAGTCCTGCCCGATGTGCCTCTGCCCGGAGTCCTGCCCGGTATGCCGCTGCCCGGAGTCCTGCCCGATGTGCCAGTCTTTGATATCCCGCCAGTTACCAGACCCGGGCGGTGGAACATTTTGCCCAGCTAGGACTGTTTGGAGCGTCCTGAGGCCGCTCCTTGAGGGGGGGTACTGTCAGAAATGGACTTGCCAGTAATGGTGGGACTCACCTGCCTTGTGGGCTGCAGTACCAGGGCTGGCCAGCGGGTGCTCTCAGCAATCAGAGACTCAACCCTGCAGCCAGCCAAACACCTGAAGCTGATCATGCAGGTGTATTTAAGGGATGGCCAGACCTGCAGTCTGTGCCTTGGTGTGTGTTTTTCCTGGGCCCTGTATCTTGTTCCTGCATCCCTGTTCCTGTCCCTGTCTGATTCGTTGCTGACCCTGCCTGATCCGGACCTCTGCTGACTTCTCCTGTTTCATACCTGGCTTGTTACCCCCGACCATTCTCTGCCTGACCCCCTGTACCTACCTGCCCGATTGTTATTGACCCGGCCTGCCTGACGACGCTTGCATTGTATGTACTGTTATCTGTGGGTGGTTGGTTTGGTTCGTTTGCACTGTGTTATGTTTTAGTATTGCACTGCGTTTATGTTTGTATTGTTAGTCTTTAATAAATTATATTGTTTATAACTTATCTGAAGCCTGCGTTTCCCTGCGTCAGTTCACATACCTCTGGTCATACCCTGGAGCCCTGACAACTCCGTACTCATTTCAACCAATGGCCAATCCGTACTCATCCCAACCAATGGCCACTACTCCGTACTCATCCCAACCAATGGCCACTACTCCGTACTCATCCCAAACATGGCCACTACTCCATACCTATCCCAACCAATGGCCACTACTCCCGTACCCATCTCAACCAATGGCCACTACTCCGTACCCATCCCAGCCACTGGACACTAATCCATACTCATCCCAGCCACTGGACACTAATCCATACTCATCCCAGCCACTGGTCACTACTCAGTACTCCTCCCAACCAATGGCCACAACTCTTACTACTTGACCTCTCCGCAGCTTTTGATACATTTGACCATCCTCTCCTCCTCAAAAAACTCCACTCTCTGAGTCTCAGAGACTCTGCTCTCTCCTCGTTCTCCTCCTACCTATCGCAGCACTCCTTCAGTGTTATCTATAATGCTGCCTCCTCCTCTTCACTCCCTCTTTCTATAGGGGTGCCTCAAGGATCTGTCCTTGGACCCCTTCTCTTCTCCATCTACACCTCCTCTCTTAGTCACTTGATAAACTCCCATGGCTTTAAGTACCATCTCTATGATGATGACACACAAATCTATCTTTCTACTCCTCACCTCACCCCTTCAGTCACCTCCTCACCTCACCCCTTCAGTCTCCTCCCGCATTACTAACCTACTAAGCGACATATCGGCATGGATGTCACTCCACTTCCTCTAACTCAATCTTTCCAAAACTGAGCTCTTAGTATTCCCCCAGCCTGTGCCCCCTCCCCTGACTTCTCCATCAAGATCAATAATACAACCATCATTCCCTCCCCTCATGCCAGGGTACTAGGTGTAATCCTAGACTCCCATCTGTCCTTTCACCCCCAAATCCAATCACTGTCCAAATCTTGTAGACTTCACCAAGACAACATCTCCAAGATACGCCCGTTCCTAACCTCGGAAACCACAAAGCAACTTATTCACTCCCTTGTTATATCTCGCCTTGACTATTGTGACTCCCTCCTCATTGGACGACCTCATCGCAGGCTATCCCCTCTTCAGTCTATCATGAATGCTGCTGCCAGACTCATCCACCTTACTATACATTCTGTATCTGCCACCCCTCTCTGCCAAACCCTCCACTGGCCTCCACTCAGTATCCTCCACCCCTCTCTTCCAATCCCTCCACTGGCCTCCATTCAGTATCCTCCACCCCTCTCTGCCAATCCCTCCACTGGCCTCCATTCAGTATCCTCCACCCCTCTCTTCCAATCCCTCCACTGGCCTCCATTCAGTGTGCTCCACCCCTCTCTGCCAATCCCTCCACTGGCCTCCATTCAGTGTCCTCCACCCCCCTCTGTAAATCCCTCCACTGGCCTCCCATTGCCCAACGGATATAATTCAAAACATTAACAATAACATATAAATCCATTTATAACTCTGCCCCAAATAACCTCACCAATCTTGTCTCTAAATATCACCCAAACCGTACTCTCCGCTCCTCGCAAGACCTCCTACTCTAGCTCCCTTGTCTCCACCTCCCATGCTCGTCTCCAGGACTTCTCCAGAGCCTCACCCATCCTCTGGAACTCTCTACCACCAATTTATCAGATTATCACCTACTCTGTTTACTTTTAGGTGATCTCTAAAAACCGATCTCTTCAGGGAAGCCTATCCTGCCCTCAGCTAATAATGGAATCTTCTACTCCTCCTACCAGTCCATCCCCCACAGTTACTACCTCTTGTACCACTAGCCCCTCCCTTTTAGACTGTAAGCTCCCAGGATCAGGCCCTCCTATCCCTCTTGTATTGTTGCTGTATTGCCTCTGTTATATTGTAAAGCGCTGAGCAAACTGTTGGTGCCATAAATCCTATATAATAATAATTACCTCCTCTACTGCCTTGTCCACAAACCTCTCTGATCTCCTTCGGACCACATAGAACTTCATGTCTTTATTCCAGATCACTTCCTGTCTGTTCCTGACATCACTTCCTGTCTGTATTCCATAGAGAAGTCCTGTCTGAGTAGTAGAAATGAGATCATCATCTTGTGGAATTCAGAGGAACTGCAGCCCCGAGAAATGTCCCCTAATCAACATTCCTGCATTGTATCTACCTTACAGGGATATCAGTAAAGTGACAAAATACCTAAAAAAAAAGTAAGAAACAATAAACCTAACTCTTATGCAACCAACTGTTTAAAAAAGATATTTAATTACAGATAGAAAAGTCTTAAAGATACAGAACACAAGATAAAAACAAAGGTATACATAATAAAACAGAGACCTCCAAAATCAGACAGACTACCCAGAATGTCCCGTCCTTCATATGAGAGAGAGAGAGAGAGAGAGGGAGAGGGAGAGGGAGAGGGAGAGAGAGAGAGAGAGAGAGAGAGAGAGAGAGAGAAACTACCCAGAATGTCCCATCCTTCATATCAGATAGAGAAAGACTACCCAGAATGTCTGGTCCTTCATATCAGAGAGAGAGAGACTACCCAGAATGTCCCGTCCTTCATATCAGAGACCGAGACAGACTACCCAGAATGTCCCATCCTTCATATCAGAGAGAGAGACAGACTACCCAGAATGTCCCATCCTTCATATCAGAGACCGAGACAGACTACCCAGAATGTCCCATCCTTCATATCAGAGAGAGAGAAACTACCCAGAATGTCCCATCCTTCATATCAGATAGAGAAAGACTACCCAGAATGTCTGGTCCTTCATATCAGAGAGAGAGACTACCCAGAATGTCCCGTCCTTCATATGAGAGAGACAGACTACCCAGAATGTCCCGTCCTTCATATCAGAGACCGAGACAGACTACCCAGAATGTCCCATCCTTCATATCAGAGAGAGAGACAGACTACCCAGAATGTCCCATCCTTCATATCAGAGACCGAGACAGACTACCCAGAATGTCCCATCCTTCATATCAGAGAGAGAGACAGACTACCCAGAATGTCCCGTTCTTCATATCAGATAGAGAAAGACTACCCAGAATGTCTGGTCCTTCATATCAGAGAGAGAGACTACCCAGAATGTCCCGTCCTTCATATGAGAGAGACAGACTACCCAGAATGTCCCGTCCTTCATATCAGAGACCGAGACAGACTACCCAGAATGTCTGGTCCTTCATATCAGAGAGAGAGACTACCCAGAATGTCCCGTCCTTCATATGAGAGAGACCGACTACCCAGAATGTCCCCGTTCTTCATATCAGAAAGAGACGGACTACCCAGAATGTCTCATCCTTCCTATCAGAGAGAGAGACAGACTACCCAGATGTTTTGTCCTTCATATCAGAGACCAAGACAGACTACCCAGAATGTCCCGTCCTTCATATCAGAGAGAGAGAGACAGACTACCCCGAATGTCCGTCCTTCATATCAGAGAGAGAGACAGGCTACCCAGAATGTCCCGTTCTTCATATCAGAGACCGAGACAGACTACCCAGAATGTCCCATCCTTCATATCAGAGACCGAGACAGACTACCCAGAATGTCCCATCCTTCATATCAGAGAGAGAAAGACTACCCAGAATGTCCAATCCTCCATATCAGAGAGAGACAGACTACCCAGAATGTCTCTTTTTTTTTTTTTTTTTTTTTAAATTGCCGTCAGACTGAATCATAAACCTGGGCTGTACACACCCAACCACTAGTTCATGTTCCTTGCATCATACTGGCAAAGCAAAGTATCAAAGCACACACATTAAAAACATTACATATATACTTTACTATCCAACCCCCCCCCCCACATTCCATACCCCATCAGCCACCTCCTCCCCCAACCTCCGTCTATCAAGCGCTAATAGATACGTGAGCTTCGCCATACACCACCTCACACAATCCTCAGTTAACAACACCTTCTTTCTATACCATACACACCGTGCATCCCATACCACTTCCTTCACTACAGCAGAAACCACATACATTTTCCTCTTCACTTCCCGATCACCACCCACCAACCCCAACACTCCAGCCTCAAAATTAACTCTCCGCACCCCCACCACCTTTAACACAAAATTATTCAACAACCTCCACACCTCTATAACAAAGCTGCATTCCCAAAACACATGTCTCACTGTTTCACACCCACCACACCCCTCTCTCTTGGGCACCACTCACTCCTAACCAAGTCTCTCGCCTTTAAGAAGGCCAAAGTTGACAGGCAGTTATGGTAAGTCTGCCACGTAATCTCTTTCTGTCTATTTGTTACTCCCATTAACAGCCAAATTCTTCCAACACAAGTCCGCCACTCTAGTACTCAAACCGCAAATGTTAGTCACTAGTTCCCCTCTCCGTAGCCACTTCCATAACAATCCCTTATTCACAGCACCAAGCCCCCCAACTCACCCAACCTATTCTGCTCAAAAAAAGGTCCTCATGCCTAAATAGTAAGCGGGGGATACCAACGACAGTGGCTTCCTCAGATCCTTGCCACTTCAGCCCCACTTCACCACCGACCAACCTACCAGAAATCTCATCAAGCAAGCCACTTTCCCTCCACCCACAAAATGCTTTGTAATGTGTCAACCACACCAGTGCCCCTTTTTAGATACACATCTATGTTGGGGAAACCATATCGTCCTGCTCCTTCAGACTTCATTACCGTCACTCTCCACGCCACCTCTCACCATTTTGGAACCCCAGAAAAAAACAAACAGCATCCTCGTCCACCCTCTGGACAAGACGTCTACTCGGAGTGAAGACCACTCCAAAATACAACAAACAAAGGAAGGATCACCGCTTTTTACAATCAAGGTTCCCCTTCCCCGTCACAAGACACAATCCCCGCAGCTTCCATAAAATTCAATCTCCTTTCCAATTTTTTCCATGCTTTCGCTCCACATTCTTTTGATTTGTCAAAATTCCAGGTAATATTGTACCCCCAAATACCTTCCATCTGCTCCACTTCCTCCACTCTCCCTCCACCCACATCACAGGATCCATAGCAAAC